CTGACCTGTTCTATTTTTCTCTGAAATGAGATCAAATTAGTGCTTCTATGGGTTGTCTCCTCTCTGTAATAGAAAATTTGACTTTATTTAGAGACGTGTCGTAATTTCTCCCCAAGCCCCCCCCCAAGAAATATGCGTGGCAGCCACATCTAGTGGACAACTATTTTTTTTTGCACATACGTGTAGTTATCGTCCATTTATTGTTATCGAGGTTAACTCCTCAATATACTGTGATATTGATTTTCGGCCACATTGCCCAGCCCAAAGTAATATTCAAAAGTATTTATTAAGCCCACTGTTCGATTTGTTGTATAATAACTGAACCAGTTTAAATAATACAAATCAACTGTGTTATGATTTTGCTGCTGGTGTGAACAACCTTTGTAGGAAATAACTGAAGTATATTATAGACTAGTTCATGCACGGGCCTTTTGGGCTTCAGACTGTTTACCATGCATGCACAAGGATTTTAGGTTGTGTTGGTAAAGAGTTATCAATCCTGTTACGGCAGTGTTTCTTCAGCCAACATGTAAATCTGATAAACTGTTTCACGCAGCCGCTGATCGTCAAATCCAACTTTTCTTTACTCGTTTTCCTTCCTCTTAGCACCACCTCCACAGGGAAACCCTTCATGCCTTAAAACCCCTTCTAATCTTCGTGGAAACTCAAAATCAACCACTCATTTCCCAATGTGCTGTTTGTTTAAGCTCTGGCGCAGGGCCATAGTTTCAGCAGGAACACAGAGTTGAGCTCAAATTACATGATCACTTTAAGTTATCCACAGCATGAAAACTCAGAGTACCACATCCATTCTATACAAAATAAATAAAATGATGCATGTTGTAATGATTAGCATGGTCAATCACTTAACAGCAAGACAGTACTTCAGTTGGGCTTTTTTTGTATTGACGGTAGACGTTTTTCTTGTGTGTGTGGGTTTTCTCTAGGTACTTCAGCTTGCTGTTAAAGTCCACAGCAGTCCAAAAACGCATCTTAATTGGTTAGGGGTGTCTGTGTAGATGTATTCAGATAACAAACAACTATTAAACCGTGATTACTTAACTGTTAAGTATTTTGTTCTGACTGGGCTTTAGGGACTCACCGTTGCCGATTCTGGCATTGAGTCAATACCATGTGCATGTACTCATAGAAGTGCTCCAATACAACAGAACTGATATTAGCATGACAAGAGCTTTGTTTCCCTCTGTCATACATGATTAGTTTGTGGACAAATGCTCTAGCCCAATGACTGGCAGTAATAAACCATAAAATGAATGCAAGCTACTTAAAAACAAGAAGCAGAAGTGGCTGACGAATGGTAGCAGCCAGTTAGCAGAGGAGGAGCTGTGTGTCACTGGTGGAGGTATTTCCAGGTGAATGAAATGGACTACAGTAAAGATGAGAAATTATGATCATGTGCCAGTTGCCCAGTTTAACATTCGTACAATCCAAAGATGCCGGTCCTATGACTAAATCTTATCTTTAAAAACAGTGTCTTTAATCAAGAAATAGAGCATATTAAAATCTCACGAGACACATTGTTTACATCAATGGTGAAGTTCACAGTTTCACATGAATGCAGAATGTGAAAATAGTATCAAAGCCCCCGTTTCCTGGATTAGCTGCCTAAAAAACATAAATAGGGAAAGGATCAGGTCAGAAAAAGCCACACAACTAAACATCACAACGTAAAATTAGCAATCATGGACTCACTCAAATTGGCTTGGGACCACAGAAAGATGATTATTTAGTGGCCAGGAGAGAATAGAGGGCATTTCGGCTGGCAGTGGCTAACCATTAGCAATAGCAATTCCACAACATGGGAGGAGCATGTTCAGGCTTGGGTAACTTGCAGAAATAAAACACTTCATCGTTTACCCAAGACAAAAGAGCAAACGGAGACAGCAGAAGAGTTGCTCTGTTGTAAGCCAATCAGAAGCAAGACGTTAGCATTTCACACCTCGTACGTTGTTATGGTGAAAATTGTTTATCACTGCAACCCTAACTTGCACGTGGTAAAGGACAGATATTACATACATTTTAAATGATGATTGGTTTAAAGCTACTTTATAGGTTATCAGCACATGTATAGAAAGGTTCTTACGGGCTCGATACACGGGAGGCGACATCGCCTCTCCTCCATTCATTTTCAATGAGACATGCACGACAAAGCGATAATCGTGGGTCTCCCTCCTACTAAGCGAAACGGAAGATTCGATTTCGCCATGGAACAGAAATGGTGAACGGCTTTGCCGCAGGCCGCTGCCGCGGGTCGCCTCCCGTGTGTAAGGTAATGAAAGCGACAGCGACGAATTTCGCTGATCGCGGTCGTTTGTTGCCTCCCGTCATCATAAAACGACAGAGTTGTAAAAGCAAAAATCAAGCATGAACTGAACCAATTGTTTTTCAGAACTCAGGTTCAATTCACTCAAAAACAGACCTTACCCACTGTGACTTCCATGTTTACATCCACCAGGGCAAAGCTACAAGACAAAATATGATTTGTCTTTGAACACTGACACAAGCAAAGTATAGCCTAAAGCTCAACTTGTTTGCTTAAAAAGACAGACACAAGAAGGAAACGACCAAGACAGAGCAAACACAGCCCTTACTCTGGAACCGTTCACTTGCACACCTAAAACAAATTACTTTACAGTTTATGTTCAAAAAAGGAAATTCTGCGTTCCATTTTAAAAACAAAATAATTTAAAGCATAAAACAATTACTCCCCCCCCCCCCCCCACACACACACACACACAATGTGGCTTTGCATCTAAACCTTTTAGCTTGATGTAGATATTCAGTTTCTGTTAAAGCCTTATGGGTACTTTCCCACACACTTCACATAGCTCACTGATAACTAAATATCTTAAAATAGATGTGGTTCAGTCTTCTGTTCTATTCATCACCACAACAGCAGCAAAAGAGTCACAAAGCAAAAAACAAAATGTGTGTGACCTCTTTGGGTCTTGCTGAAGTTGAATAAAGGGTCTAAATGAGCCTGAGTTGCAGCTAAAGACCTGGGATGAGTCATTTGCTTCATCACTTTATGAAGAATTCACATTGATACTGACATACTTTCTCATATTTCTAAATTAAAACAATGTTGTTTCACTAAGCCTTGTGAAGGGCAGCAAACTGATAAACTAGTACTAACCCACAAAGTCTGTAAACCTTTGACAAAAGTCAACAGCAGCAACAACACACAAGATTGGTAAAATGCTTGGCCTTCCAGCTCCTCTGCAGCCTGACATTGAGATATAGAGTAGCTCTTAAATAAGAGCTGAATCCACAGTCACTTCCATATTTCACAAAATGAGCTAAAAATGGGAGAGCTCAGCAGTTCTCTAATGACGCTGAAACCAATAGGAGGGATGAATTTAGAGTCTGTAAGTGCTAGCATGTGCATGGATTTTGACATGTGCTTGTTTGCATACCAACGCTGCAGATCTGATGCTGGAATCAAAAAGGCTTTGCAAATACCTTACACTTGAAATAAAAACCTAATTTAATTAGTCTGTTTTGTTGAAGGACTTCAAAGATGACTTCAGTAAACAATGGTGCAAACAAAGTACAGTAAAGGCTTTTTTCTTGGAAAACCATTTCTACTTCTAATGTAACAGATAAAGCATTTGTATATGTATAGATTATTGATAAGACACAAAGTTTGTAAAAAAAATGTATTGGGTAGTCAAGCATATGCAATAGTACAAAAAAGACAGTGTGGCTGTATTTTAAGGTTGGGGTGATATATATAAAACTTTCCAAGCGATATTTGTCAGTCCAAAAAATGAAGAGGGGCGATATATTCGTGCAGGACACGTTTAGACGTCATGTGGTTTGTTGGCACACTGCGTGGATTGCCCCACCAATCACAATCATTCTTACTCAGTTTGCAAAAGCAAGCCACGAGGGTTCCACATGACACTTTGCTGTTTTTCCAATTCCACTGGCTATTTGATGAGTCAATCAATTATAAACTGTGATAACAGAGGACGCCACCATGAGAATCGCAGAAGAGCCCACAGTGTGATCAAATTAATTTACTTAAAAATTAAGTGGCTAAGAAAGTGCACAGCATAGGAGCATTTAAAACTTGGTAGTTAACAAAATAAGGTCAACATCAAAGCGCTGTGCCTGAAAAAACATGGAGATAAAGCCACGTAGAAAAATGAAACAAGACCAGAAACAGGTCAGTGCCATGACTCCTGCTTTGTGACAGCTTGGTGTCTGCCTCCTCTAGTTTGTTTGGTAAATTAAAGAAACTTCGAGTAATAATTTAGTTGAACGTAAGGAGCCTAAAGTGTTCTTTAAAAGTGTGGCCTCCAGAATGCGATGATAAGCAGTGTTGTAATGCCGGATCTCCCTTTCAATGTTGATTTCTGAATGATTGATAGTCTTTTTTTTTTTGTCGTTTGCTGGTTCTTTCCTTTATATCAACTGTTTCAACTCTTTGGATGTAAATGTCGACTTATCATGTTTATTAATATGCAGATATCAAAAGCCACTCCCAAACCGATATGGCTACATTTCTGCATCAGTGATTATATAAATATGCTATTTTTCATCATATTAAGCTAAATTGCAAATCACTAAATATCAGTTAATGATTGAGACACAAGTGAGGCTAAATGAATGAAGCATAATATGCTAGAGCCTTTCCCCCTGCTGGATGCTACTATCAAAATGTCTAAAAGTTTTAATATAAAAATTACAATTGCATGAATCTTTTATGCTTTTTGGATCATCTGGACTGCTTAGTTTTGTTTTGGGTGAGTCTTGTTTCTGATATGCAAAACTAAAAGTTAAAAGAAATATTTGGGTGCAAAAATATATAGTTTCCACACCAACTTTTGGCAGAAAATAAGTAAACATACGCTTCTGCACACGTCAGGAGCACAACAGCAGGAAGGAAGGAAGCCTTAAAAACTACAGGATACTTTAAAATTGTAGTTTTTAAGTTCCAATGAACAGGACGTCGTTTTTCTTGTGCTACTTACTGGTTTGTGGGAGGTGCAGAGAGAGGAAACTCCACCTCGTCGTCATCCTGTTCCGGCAAATCCTGTATGTCGCTTTCATCCATGGTGCCGCCGAGACCCCCGCAGCCCAAAGAAGCAGGAGGTGGCGGCAGTGGAGGAAAGAGAGCGGGGTCATCCGGACCTGATGATGTGGGTGAAATCTGGCTAGTTGGTGCCTCCGAGTTAGAAGAGTAGCACATGCCGCCCACTGTCCCGGAGTTTGTTCCTAGAAAACCATAATGTCCACCTTCTTTTCCGCTACTCCCTGGTGCGGGCAACACTGGTCCCGTCATATCCCCACCATGCATGGGATAGCCCACATTAATGACAGAAAGTGAGTCCGGAGAGGTGTTTGAATGCTGCCGAACGGCTGACGATGTTGGCCCTGGTCCCGGATCACTCACTCGCACTCGGCTCGACTTCGGATAGAGGGAGAAAGGGGCCGTCTCGGGGCCTCCTCCTCCGCCTGCCACCCCTGTCCCTGTCGTGACCGAACTCGTGTCTTCACTGCTGACCTCTGCAGCCATCATGTTAAAAACTACGCAGAGGGGAAAAAGTCCAGAAGGGAACCTGCCCTTCCCCTCCGTTCTCAGACTATTCCGTCAGTGTTCGGGCTACGGAGGAACAACACGAAAAAGTTTCCCAAAACCGCGACTAGCTAGACGGCTAACATTAGCCAACAGCTAACTTAGCTTTACAACACATTCGCTCGCCACAAGACAGCCGAGCTAACACTAGCAGCTCTGAAACACTTGATGAGTTCTTGTTGGCTAGGTTTTCATTGTTTCCTGTGTTTAAAGTTCACATATGAACGCTAGTTAAAAATTTAACATGCGTACATTTTCTCGAATGTTTGTTTTCAGATTTTTACGTATATTTTGGGTCCTCACCCTCAGCACCAGACAAACCACTTGTCGACGAGTTTTGTTTTATTGTCAATGTTGAGCATAATCCCGTCTCTTTTCCAGTGTTGTTGTTTTCTTTCGTTCCGAGTTCGGTGTCTCAACAAGATACCGCAAACAATCGAACCTTGTCTATTACATTCTTGGAATGATTCGCCATTCTATAAAAACAACAATTCTACTGAATAAAGTATTTTTTTCCTTAAGTACACTGGCTAAGTTCGCTTCTATTTTCAGGGGTGGTAGCTTCTACTCCACTTCAGTGCTCCGTTGCTTTTCTCTCCTCCGTCGGACTCGGCTCCACTCACCGAGCAGACGCAGCTAATAGAACAAAGAGCGGAACGACGCTGATCCATGCCATCGTCAATCGTTTTTGTGAACTTGATTAAAAACTGGATGATTGTCTTGGTAAATCAACAAAAACACAAAAAAGTGCTTTGCGTTGTACAATAGGAAAAATCACAAAGGGTCTCCCCAGGTGGATGTTCATATCAATTGATATATTTTAATATTTAATGTAAAAAATTGTACTAATATATATATATATATTTAGGCCCTTTTGAGCAGAACAAATAAAAAATATAAAATAATGTTTTAATTCTTAAAAATATTGTTGAATTTTTTTGGCCCGTGAGGAGTTTTAACAGCATGATATTGGCCATCTTCTTGAAAAGTTTGGGCATCCCTGACATGGACCAATGTTCCTCTAATGAACTTGATGTATAGTAAATGTTTAGAATTTCATTTAAAAATGTTAAAACATTATCTTGTAATCATTAGTTGATTGTTCTCCTCTGTTGAGAAATCAATCCTCACTTTTGTATAAAATGTAGGTTTTTTTTCCTCCAATCTTGTATTTTTGTTATTTTTTATTCATAAATGGAGCTTTTTGTCATGACGACAGACAATGTTTGTTTGTTTTTCCAAATTATCAGCAAAACTCACTTATTGATGATTACAACCACATCAACCCATTATCCCATGAGGATGATCTTGGCTATCTCATGATAATAAGACAGTTAATTTATAATCTCAAAAAAGCAGTGGTTCAAGTGGTGGTTCTTGGCTTTTATACAGATTACAGGTGCTGGCCAGTAAATTAGAATATCATCAAAAGGTTGAAAATATTTCAGTAATTCCATTCAAAACGTGAAACTTGTACATTATATTCATGCAATGCACACAGACCAATGTATTTCCAATGTTCATTACATTTAAATTTGATATTCATAAGTGACAACTAATGAAAACTCCAAATTTGGTATCTCAAAAAATTAGAATATTCTGAAAAGGCTGAATATAGAAGACACCTGCTGCCACTCTAATCAGCTGATTTACTCAAAACACCTGCAAAGGCCTTTAAAAGGTCCCTCAGTCTTGTTTTGAAGGCACCACAATCATGGGGAAGACTTCTGACTTAACAGCTGTCCAAAAGACAATCATTGACACCTTGCACAAGGAGGGCAAGACACAAAAGGTGATTGCTAAAGAAGCTGGCTGTTCGCAGAGCTCTGTGTCCAAGCACATTAACAGACAGGCGAAGGGACGGAAAAAATGTGGTAGAAAAAAGTGTACAAGCTCTAGGGATAACCGCACCCTGCAGAGAATTGTGACGACAAACCCATTCAAAAATGTGGGGGAGATCCACAAAGAGTGGACTGCAGCTGGAGTCAGCGCTTCAAGAACCACCACGAGGAGACTCATGAAAGACATGGGATTCAGGTGTCGCATTCCGTGTGTCAAGCCACTCTTGAACAAGAAACAGCGCAAGAAGCGTCTCGCCTGGGCCAAGGACAAAAAGGACTGGACTGATGCTGAGTGGTCCAAAGTTATGTTTTCTGATGAAAGCAAGTTCTGCATTTCCTTTGGAAATCAAGGACCCAGAGTCTGGAGGAAGAGCGGAGAAGCACAGAATCCACGTTGCATGAGGTCCAGTGTAAAGTTTCCACCGTCAGTGATGGTGTGGGGTGCCATGTCATCTGCCGGTGTTGGCCCACTCTGTTTCCTGAGGTCCAGGGTCAATGCAGCCGTCTACCAGGAAGTTTTAGAGCACTTCATGCTTCCTGCTGCTGACCAACTTTATGGGGATGCAGACTTCACCTTTCAACAGGACTTGGCACCTGCACACAGTGCCAAAACCACCAGCACCTGGTTCAAGGACCATGGTATCCCTGTCCTTGATTGGCCAGCAAACTCGCCTGACCTTAACCCCATAGAAAATCTATGGGGTATTGTGAAGCGGAGGATGCAATACGCTAGACCCAACAATGCAGAGGAGCTGAAGACGACTATCAGAGCAACCTGGGCTCTCATAACACCTGAGCAGTGCCACAGACTGATCGAGTCCATGTCACGCCGCATTACTGCAGTTATTGAGGCAAAAGGAGCCCCGACTAAGTATTGAGTGCTATACATGCACATTCTTTTCATGTTCATTCTTTTCAGTTGGCCAACATTAGAGAAACAAACATTTTTTCATTGGCCTTTAGAATATTCTAATTTTCTGAGATACCAGATTTGATGTTTTCATTGGTTGTCACCTATAAATATCAAATTTAAATGTAATGAACATTGGAAATACATTGGTCTGTGTGCATTGCATGAATATAATGTACAAGTTTCACGTTTTGAATGGAATTACTGAAATATTTTCAACCTTTTGATGATATTCTAATTTACTGGCCAGCACCTGTAGAAAGAAAATTTGTCATTTCCAGACAATCATCTGTGGGTCACTGTTATTCTCCACCCATTTCCAGTCATGCCCCCCAGGCAGCTGCTGTAAAAGTGGAAATTATATTCACATGTCCATTTCTTCTCTCACCTCACTCAACTTTAAGTTTATGAACTCATGTTTTCTTTGTTCTACAATGATTTCTTTGATGTCTTCTCATTTTTGAATTTCCCAGAACATAATTGGTTAGCATGCATATGGAAAAACAGTTTTACAGCACATAGGGACGCACGTTGTTCACATCATGGCCACCATGGAGCTTATGACTGTGATCTTCTCTAAAACACAGACTTCCCTAAAGTCCTGTGACACAGAAGGTCAATGATGTGTGAATTCTAAAACCTAGCATTGACTTAGCTCATGTGAGTTATATCTTTTGACAATAACTGCCAAACAGACAAATATACACAAACCTGAACTTTTAACATTAAACACTTTAATTGTTTGCTGGATCATCTTTGTATTTATTGTTTGCAGATGATTTAAAGCTACTGACGCTGTTTTCACTCTATATTTCTCATGGTAGTGCACCTGTGTCCTGTGCATCCTCCCAGACTAGATATAATAAGCTGTATCCTGTGAGCAATCTTATCTCTTTTCCTTGGCAGATGATATGAAAGCGTCAGCCTCATACCTGATCAGCTTGTCTGTGTGTTGGCAACAAAATTATTTGATCAGAGTAAATCATTCAAAGCCTAAACCCAGAGGTTCAGACTGTTTGTATGCTAATTTTAATCCGCATCTGCCCACACCTTCATGTTTTTGACTTCCTCTTTTTCTCACTGTGTGCATGTGTTACAGAACGAGGATGTGCCGATGCTGACAGACTGTCAGAAAAGAGTGTGAAAGAGATGTGGGGCAGCAGGCCTGTTCTGCTCTGTTTCACCATAACATGTCAAAGGATGGGAACTGATGGGAGTACCATGGGAGCCCAACTCAGTGTCTACTGAAGGCATCCATCCATTTTCATCATTATATTATCGTAACACTTCATTGCCTTCAACAACAGCACATGGGGAAAATGTCCACTTTCCTTGTGATAATTGTGTGTTTTTGTTTTGGACACCAAATTTAGGTATTTGAACAGATTTTTAGGATAAACTTGCTTGTTGTTCAGCATTTAGTGAGATATGTTGGCCAATTTGGATTTTATTTCAGTGTGAAAAGTATAAATAATTACTATGTTGTCAGTTTTTGATGGTTTTCTGAATGACCACTGACAGAACACATATCCATTGGAATGCTGCCATCTAAAAACACCTAAAATCTACATTTCACAGCAGTTCATGTAAAAAGCGCTTTATAAACCTTTACGCTGTTGTCATTTTCACATTGCATGGATATTTTTTGGCAGAAATATTCAGAGTCTCCTGTTGGACCTGATCCATGAATGCACCAGAAGTGTTTGATTTTGCTGCTGCTGGTCTTATTTACACTTGCATTTTTCCTGCTCCACGAATTCCACACGACTGAGCTTTAAATCATGCCATAACAGACCTTCCATGTCAGCACTTTTACTTACAGAATCAACCTTTTTGAGTTCCTCAGAAATATAAAAAAACAGAGTGAATAGTTCTTTAAAATAAATAGGAACCAAATTTCAGATTTAAAACTGTTTTAGAGAACCTACAGAACAAGCTAGGTTTTGAATGGAAACACGGTCACAGAACACTCACACCTTCGCTCAGGTAGGGTGGAGATTTATAAAGGAACATCACATGAACTACTATGGCATTTTGGAAACTGTTTTAAGACAACAGCTGAGATTAATAAGCAAGCCATCATGTGTAGGTGATGAATGAATGATTTCAAGAAATTTAGGAATAAACTACATTTTTACACTTTTGAAACAACATTTAGATTTCTGTGCTAGTCATGGATTGTCCATAATGAACACCGTGTTAAGACATGAAGGTGTCCATATGAGCTCTTGGCACAAGGATACCTTAGGCCGCAGCTCGATGATCGACTTTGTTGTTGTTTCATCTGACCTGCGGCCGCATGTCTTGGACGCTCGGGTGAAGAGAGGGGTGGAGCTGTCAACTGACCACTACCTGGTGGTGAGTTGGCTCAGATGGTGGGGGAGGATGCTGGTCAGACCAGGCAGGCCCAAACGTATCGCGAGGGTCTACTGGGAACATCTGGCAGGGTCTCCTGTCAGAAGGAGCTTCAATTCCCACCTCTGACAGAACTTCTCAAATGTTCCTGGGGAGGCGGGGGGACACTGAGTCTGAATGGACCCTGTTCCGTGCCTCCATTGTTGATGCGGCCGACCGGAGCTGTGGTCGCAGGATCGTCGGTGCCTGTCGTGGTGGCAACCTTCAAACCCGCTGGTGGACACCGGTGGTTAGGGATGCTGTCAAGCTGAAGAAAGAGTCCTGTCAGGTCTTTTTGACCTCTGGGACTCCAGAAGCTGCTGACGGGAACCGGCAGTCCAAGCGGAATGCGGCTCGGGTGGTCGCCGAGGCAAAAACCCAGGCATGGGAGGAGTTCGGTGAGACCATGGAGCAAGACTTCCATACGGCTTCGAGGAGATTCTGGTCCACCATCCGGCGCCTCAGGGGGGTAAAGCAGTGCGC